GTTATATCCTGGGAGCAGCTGGAAACAGGTAATCTAGTATCCTCGTGTACTATGTACTATCCTCAATGGTACAATGCTGCTGACGGACTCGCTGTAGAGATGACCATATGCAATGCTCTTTCATCAGGTAAACTTTATGGAAATTTCTAAAACAAATCATAGCAGAAACTCATTACATCATTTCCCCATACTTTATAATCTCCATGATCCCACATAAAGAAACACTAGTAAATATTATAGCATATATTCTTAAGTAAACTGTGGTACATTTTTATAAAGACTATGGTTTTTAACTTTACTATAATTACTAAATTATAGCCTACTATAGTATACTACAGTTTACTATTTGTATCAGTCATGTAAGATATGTTGTAATAATACAATAAGTACCCAGTACGTAGTGTAAAAATATACTGCATCATATATTTTGTATTATTACAATAAGGCAACTTCTAAATCATAATATTGTTGCCTAACACAGTAGCAAAAGATGCATACCATGTAATCTTAGAATAGTTACACCTTACTTATGAAATACTAACGGTATAAATACTTTTAATTTTCCAAGACATTGTACATTGTTTCTGTTTACCTACACGTAAGTACAGCTGTAAGTTATGCTTATGTGGGAAATTTCGATCTGTGTGTCATACATACCATGTAATTTCAGAATAGGTGCCCTTTAGTTATAAAATACTTGGTAACACTTTATTTCCATAGTCCACTTTAGACATTATATTAACAGTAAGTAACTTTGCAACTACATGTCAACTAGCAGTTAGTAGAGTATTAGTAGACTGTTTGCTTAATATCTTCTAACACTTTCTTTGTCAACTTATTCTACTAAACCTAAACCTACCCTAAGTCTACTCTGAGAGTTAGTAGACATGTAGTTGCAAATTAATGAGAATTAGTTGACATGTAGTTGACATGTAATTACAAAGTTACTTATAGTTCTAAAGTGGACTATCAAAATAAAGTGTAACCAAATACTTACAGTATAAATGCTTTATAATTTCACAGGTTATTACCCCCTTATTCCCCAAACGTTGCATATTGTTCCCTTATACCTACAAGTAGGTACTGTGGAGGTACTTTATAGTTACAAATTGGTACGCTGCAAATTCTGTTTAATTACGTGATACATTGCGGGCTGTAATCTACGGCTGTTACCGTAGATTCTTAATCTTTTTTTTTCTGTGTGTTTTGTATAAGGTTTCATTCACCTAGGAGCTACATGTATCTTGAAAGATTTCTCATTGACTGTACATTTGCATTTTACATTACAAATGTCCAGTACTGTGCAAATGTCTTAGGCTATTAGTATTTTCACCTCAAAAAAAATTTACCTCTATTTTTTACTGTAGTTTGTCAGTAGGAAATATCAGTTGACATTTCCAAACTTTTTTTTTGCCAATTAATTGTAATAATCCAGTGATATTTTTGCATGCACAAGGAGTCTTGACAACAAGACACTTGAAGAAATCTCACTGGATTATGGTAAAAAAGTTTAGAAATGTAAACTGATATTTCGAACTGAAACAATACAGCAAAAGATAGAAATAACTGGCTTAACTTTCATGTATGAGGATATCACTAAATCCAATAAAACTCAAACCTTCTACTATAATTTCTACTCAATCCATAGTGCTGTATGTAAACATTTACAAAAATAAGACAAATCAAATCTGTCTTCCACTTCTCTAGATGGGACGCCAAAGATTCTCTCTGCCTTCAGTGAGAAGGTGGTGAGCCCGAATGAGCCCATCTCACTGGTGTGTCACGTGAAAGGAACCCCCCTCCCCACCGTCACCTGGACCTTGGATGAGGACCCCGTCATCAAAGACAGCAACCACCGCATGGATCGCATCATCACCACAGAAGGTCACGTGCTCAGCTACCTGAATGTGTCTCATACACAGGTCACCGATGGGGGCGTCTATCGCTGCACCTGCAACAACTCGGCTGGATCGGTCTCCTACCAGGCTCGAATAAACGTAAGAGGTGCTTGTCAGATCAGCTCCTCAAAAACACCCACACCACACGACAAGCACACACAACAATTTCATGTTTGTTCAGAGATTGTCTTGTTTCTATTTGGAAATTTTTGTTAGAAGGAGAATTGTATTGTTTTAGGTTGTCAGTGCAGTGCAGCCTCCTAAAAGGTACAGTATGTTCTCATTGGCTGCAACTTGCAGCAACAAAGCAACTTGAAGTGATTTATTTTCAATTAAATTTGGCACTTGGAAGAAGCGTGAGCAGTGACCATTGATGGCACAACAAAGAACAGAGTTTAACTTCATGCAAATGAGAACCAATGGGAGTGAAGGCAGTAGAGCTCTTGTGATTTGCCTCCTGATAGAGTTAGACTGCAGTCAAGTAGGAATGCATAGTATAGAACAGGGGTGTCCAATCCTGCTCCTGGATGGCCAATGTCCTACAGAGTTTAGCTTTAAACAACTCCAAAACACACTTGACCGGATGTTTCTATTGAGATAGCACTAGAGATTGCATTAGTGGCTGCCCATTGACTTTGGTCTCGAAGGTATTTTTCCATTTCTTTTCCTTTAGGGACTTTTTAAAAAAAGTCTTTGTTAAAGCATTGAAGCAAAAAAGTATTTGAAAATGTTTTGACAAACTTGACAAAAAGACTGTACAATGGTACAAGACTGTGTACTTAATGGCTTTTATGAGGGAAATAATTACAATCCAATAAAGCATTGCGAATAATATAATAAAAAAAAAACTGAGAGAAAAAAAACTATTTTATTTTAAAATTTGATTTTATCTAGAAAACAATAATGTATATTTTAAGTGGATTGTAAAATATTTTATGAGGGAAATAATTACAATCCAATAAAGCATTGCGAATAATATAATAAAAAAAAAACTGAGAGAAAAAAAACTATTTTATTTTAAAATTTGATTTTATCTAGAAAACAATAATGTATATTTTAAGTGGATTGTAAAAAGCATATATATATATATATATATATTTACATATTATGACAGCATGGTGAGACCAAATCGATTACATCATTTGCTGTACTTCATGGAAGTGGGCTTTCCCTGCAAGCTCTATTGGTGCAATTTTGCTCACCACGGCTCTCTGATTGGTGGAATTTTCTGTACAGTATCATGGCGGTTTTCACCACAAATTTAGCTGTCAAACATGATTATTTTAAAGAATAAACTGTAATAGTGTAAACAGTTGGCTTTAGCAAAAGCATATACCATAAGTTAACAACTATTTACCTAAGAAGAAAATGAATAGAGCTTTTACTTCCGGAATCTGACAGTTGCACTCTGTTGGCCAACAGTATGGTGACATTCAGCCATTTATTTCCTATCAGTGCAAACCAAGGGGTCAAGGTTTGGCTGGTTAATTTCGGCCATTTAACCCCTGCGGATAGATGCTTTAACTATAGTATATCAAAAAGCATATTTCCCCTTTGATGTTCATTTAAAAGTAGCAGTGCACTCTACTCTGAAGTTTAAGTTTATTTTTATGGAGTGTCTAAAACACAAATAGTCTGTCTTGTTTGCAAAGGCTATGTATACTAACTTGGTCCACCACTGTTTGGTTAGGCCAGACAAAATGACAGACGATTTTTGCTTTTGATGTGACCAACGCAACCGACTGATTTATAATTATTTGTACTTAGTGTAAATAAAATCTAATTCTATTTGCACTTAGTGCAAATAGCCTCAGCCTAATTTGGAAAAGAATCAGAATGAATGGTAATTAGATGAATGGGAATGTTAACGGAAAGCTGTTTTCAGGTATGACAGACTTCCTTGGTGTGAACACACCATTTAGTTGTTTGTTGGAAGTAAGTGTTCATACTCGATTTTGTACTGTCTACAGTCAAGTTATACTGCCTTCCCTCTCATTGGTTGTTGATACGTTGTGTTCATTTACATAAAGTTCTCTGACTACTCTGTCTACCCTTAAAGGTCCACAAATAAAAATTCTCTCATCACTTACTCACCCTCATGTCATCCCTGATGTATATGGCTTTCTTCAGATGAACACAAACAGAGATTAAATAAACAAACAAATAATTCCATCACTGAGTTTGTATAATGCAAGTGGATAGGCCCCTTAAAGTTGACGCTTCAAAAATCATCCACATGACGGTAATCCATGCGACCCCATGATGAATCTGTTTCTTCTTAAGAGCTGTGTGTGAGGAAAATGTGAAACTTTTTAAACTATAAACCAGTGCTTCCGGCCAATTGTCATATAGGTGAGCACATTTTTGAAGCATGATGTAAGCGCATTGTTAAACTTGAGCAAGAAGTGATGCAGAACCACAGAGGACCATCACTTCTCACACAAGATTCACAACTTATTTATATAAACTGGGTTTAAAATATAAAATTTTTCTTACACACATCTATTGTTTGCTTCAGAAGACACTGATTTATCAACTGGGTTGTATGGATTACCATCATGTTTGTTTTGCGTGGTTTTTGAAATGGATTGTTTTTTCCCTAAAATGCTTAGTTTGTGTTCATTTGTAAGTCATATACATTTGGGACGGCATGAGGGTGAGTAAATGATAAGCAAAGTTTTATTTTTGGATAGAGTGTCCCTGTAAATTAAACCCTCCACAAGGCTTTGAAGTTTGGAGTAATTATTATCATTTATTTAGTTAGTTACTTACGAATTTGTTCAGAATATATCTAATAGTTGAAAACTAAATTATTGACACAAACTACACAAGCCTTTCAGCTGATTTTCAGAGGCTCTGTATACTGATAGTTCTTTCTCACAATAGGTCCTGCCAGTATTCGACCAATGAAAAATGTCACTGCCATTGCTGGGAGGGACACGTACATTCACTGTCGCATCATTGGTTACCCGTACTACTCTATTAAGTGGTATAAGGATTCCAATCTGCTCCCGTTTAACCATCGCCAACGTGCCTTTGAGAACAACGGCACACTGAAGCTGTCCAATGTGCAAAACTCAGACGAGGGAGAGTATACATGCTATGTTTTGGTGGATCCAGAGAAACAAATTCACAGGAGCGTCCATGTGACAGTGAAAGGTACTGCTGTCTAAATGGCATTACAGGAATGCTAGATTTTAATATCAGGTCATAGTCAATGATGTTACTATAACTAGTACTATTGCTCATACTTATGATTCGCAAGTTACACACTTGTCCCACAACATTTGTGCTACATGAAAAGCTATTAAAATTAATCCACTTCAACCTTCAGGCCAGTAGGCAACCATCTAACCACTAAAACATCACAATTGCAACCATATATTAATGCATTAATAACCTTTCAGAATACCTTATCAACAATACCTACTACTCCGTAGCATCATGGAAACTATTTTTACATGGAAATGTATACTATTTTGTTAAGAAAATGTAAAAACAATGCTGTAATAATTACCTAAAATTAATACAAAGTTCTGTCATGAAACTCTAGATGGCACAGGCCAGTTTTACAGTAACCCAATCTAACATAATCACATCATCATCACACAGCCAATGAGCTTGCTGCTCAGCATTCAAATACTTGGCAAGTGCTTGCTGTAGCAGTTGCAACACACTTCTGAGACATTCCACCTTCCCCAGCTCCACCTGTATAGATCTGCTATGGGGTAATTTCATGCATGTTATATGTGCAGCAGCAGCATCAGTATTTCTTGCATGCTCACAGCAGCATGTCAGTGGATGTATTGGCAGTAGGAAGTCTCCGGAAGTGTTCCAAAACCAGTCACATTAACATTGCCATGTATATTACGATGCTAAACTCTCCGAGAGTTGTTATGACAGAACTATGAATCAAAACAAATTAACTATGAATGAAGGATAAAATAAATAATTAAAATGTCCTTTGAAAAATTACAAGAGAATCAGAGCTTTCATAAAATTCTGATTTCCATAATTAGGCATTGGATGCGTAATGTGTTTATGCAATGTCAAATTCATCCTAGAGAGCATTTGATTGGGCAAAAATTTGCAAATTTCACTGCTTGTATCTTCTAAAACTGAAAGATAAAATTAGAATATATATGACCTTAAAGCTTATAAAGAGATGCTAAAAAATCGATTTGAAGTTTTTCACCATTTTAATCACTATTTGTTTTTAATAGTTTAATGATCATTTTAAATGCTTACAGGCATTGCCCATAGTTACGGTAATTAAACATGGCAAACTTTACCGCAAAGCTGTCAAGATTATGGACCCTTATTTGGTCATGTTCCTGTTCTCATTGTCTCATTATTAGTTGATTCCCCGCACCTGTCTGTCCCTTGTTAAGTTTAGTATAAATGTGTAATCTGCCTCATGTTTCCTTGTCGGGTCTTGAACATCTTCCTTGTGCTCTGTGCCTCCCTGTTGGATTATTAAAGACTTTCGTTTTATGAAATCTCCACGTCTCCTCATCTCCTCGCTCCTCCCATAAGCAAAGTGTGACAGAAGACCCGACCGAAACAGTTACCTCCGTGTGTCTACCCTTCGTTTTTGTTTCCGTTTTTTTTCCCTCAGTTTTGTTTCCATTGTGTTTTCCATGGATCCCTTCTCCCGTCCGGAGTACCTCCTCCTCCTGCTGGAGCAGGGGGAGAGATCGCTCGAGGGTCACACTAGACTGTTCCTGGTCCTAGCTGCTCTAACCAGGTACCCGGACGACAGGCTCTGTGCATTCTACGATGCCAGTTTAAACATCCCGTGCAGAGTGCTGTCGTCCGAAGATGGTCTTCGAGCGAATTTCGCCACCTTTGTGGAGTGGACACTGGCGAGACACGGATCCCTGATCACCATCTGTCCCGAGGGGGATCTCGTGTCATCCCTCTGAACTGACGTGTCAATGCCACTCCGGACCCAGTGCCCAGGCCACCATCTCCCTGCTGCGCGGAGCGCATGCCCGAGCCCACTGCTGATGGAGAGCCGAAGCCCGCCGCGACCGGCGAGCCATCGCAGCATGGAGCGACAGAGCTGAGGATCGCCGTGGAGCCAGAGCTGCTGATGACGTCAGTCAAGGTGTGTGAGCCGGCAACAACGCCCGCCACGAGGGAGAAAGCTGCGGACGGTGTGAGTGTGGGAAGGCGCGCCGCCCCCTGCACTGCGGCTGAGATTGAGCTGTGTATGGCACGGTGACTGTGCCACACCAAAGAGGAGAGGGCTCCCATTCCTGAGATCTGGCCTGAAAGCCCGGAGGCTCACAAATGCCCACCCTCCCACCCGCTCCTGCCTCCTCCACCGCTGCGAGAGCCGCTACAACGCCCGCCACGAGGGAAAAAGACGTGGACAGTGAGAGCGCGAAGAGGAGCTCCAGCCCCTGCACCGTGGCTGAGGGTGAGCTAATTATGGACTTGGGACTTTGTAACTCCGATGGAGAGAGGGCTCCCGTTCCAGAGTTTAGCTCTGAATGCCCGGAGGCTCACAAATGCCCACCCTCCCACCCGCTCCTGCCTCCTCCACCGCTGTCATCTGACAGCCTCTTCACCTCTTCCCTTCATCCCTCCGGCTCCGTCAGGCTCCTTCATCCCCTCGGCTCCTCCTCAGTGCTCTGTTGCTCCGGCTCCACCACGGCCTCCCGGATCCATGCCTTCGCGTCGGTTGCCGGCGCCATCTGCTCCGACTAGGACCTCCGGATCCTCCCCGTCGCCCTGGCTCATCGGCTCTCCGTCTCCGCCTCGGGCTCCTCGATCACCGCCATTGGTCGGCCCCCTGGAGTCGGTGGCCGCCGTTATGGCTGAGGCCTGTGTCCTGCTGTGCTCCTCCTGCTCCGGGCCCCTCCTGTCGCCTTCCTGGTTCCTCCCTCCTTCGTCACCTCCCTGGTCTCTGTTTGCCAGCCCCCTCCCGGTTGTCCGTCCTCCTCTCGAGCCGCCTCCTTAGTTCCCACCCATTCCCCCCCTCTCTTGTTCTATGGCGCGAGGATGCGCCTTCCGGGAGGGGGGCGATATGTCAGGATTATGGACCTGTTTTGCCCCTGTTTTTGTTTCAGTGTTCCCTTAATTGGTCATGTTCCTGTTCTCGTTGTCTCATTATTAGTTGATTCCCCGCACCTGTCTGTCCCTCATTAAGTTTAGTATAAATGTGTAATCTGCCTCGTGTTTCCTTGTCAGGTCTTGAATGTCTTCCTTGTGCTCTCCCTTGTGTCCCTTCTGTCTCCATGTTGGATTATTAAAGACTCTCGTTTTGTGAAATCTCCACGTCTCCTCGTTCCTCCCGTAAGCAAAGTGTGACAAAAGCACAGTTAGAGCACTAATTAGAATAATTCAGACATTTATGTCATTAAAGTTAAAATAGACAGTAGTTATAGTGCAAACATTTGATGCCATTGTTGTGTAATAACCAAGCAAGCATCTGTTTTTGTGAGTTCAAAGTCATAAAGACAAAAAAAAATCCCTGATGTGATTGAGTGATGAGATCCATTCATGGTTAAAATTCTAAAGCATGCGAAGGGATTCCCTGGAGTCCATTATCCCCATTTAGTTTTGGATTAAATAAGCACTGAAGTGATGCTTTATTTCAATGTTATTTTAACTAATTGATTCTCAAACGCGACATGCTGACTAGCACCATGCTTGCGAAGTCCCCGGGGAACGCATTATGCAGAATTTACCGGGAGACGAAAGAGCCCTTTTATAGTCTTCTTTATTTTGTCTTTCTTTGCTCTGTTTCTCCCTCATTAGTTCACATTATGCCTCCTCCTCTGTGGAATCTCTAGATTCTGAGCTGTAATAACTTGTTATGAAGGCCGACTGCAGCCTTATTATTGCAAATCACAGATATTTGTACATGTGTGATCACATATGTTCTGTCCACCAGCCAATATTGAGTGTGTTCTTAGCCGTTTGTCACGTCCACTTAGAATACACTAACCGTTTATTTTATGTGTAGTATTTCTTCATAAAATGACATTATATGTAAATACATTCAATCAATGGTTATATCAAGCTTGCTTTGTATATGATATAGGGAAGACTGGGGTCATAACTGTACTGTTGAAGCCATACACTAAATCAAACTTTTGCTGTGCAATAATATGTAAACTAGTATATTATAATTGGATTGTTTGTGATTTATTTTTTTTTGGTGGTGCATGTCTAAGAGCATCTCTGTTACTACTCCGTCTCTCTCTCAGTGCCCCCTCTGATCCAACACTCCGACTCTCAGAGCGCTTCCATTGGTCAGCGTGTCTTCATCCCCTGCGTGGTCATATCCGGTGACCTGCCAATGTCTATAACCTGGCACAAAGATGGACGACCAATCAATGCCAGCCTGGGTGTCACCATCGACAACATAGACTTTACCAGCTCATTACGCATTTCAAACCTGTCGGAAATTCATAACGGCAGTTACACCTGTATAGCCCGTAATGAGGCTGCTGCTGTTGAGCATAGTATACAGCTCATTGTTAAAGGTTAGAGATCAATTTATGCTATTCTTATATAGTTATTTTCATTTTTACAAATAATGTTTTTGACTCTAGAACTATTTTCTTGTACATTTTGCAAAAAATGACTTTTCAGTTGTCATTCTTCAAACTGTCTCTAAACTTACATTTAAATACATAAATACATTTTGCAATGCTTTTATATTTGTATTTGTTTTGAAAATTAATATTCTTTTTATCCTCAGTTCCGCCACATTTTGAGGTACAGCCAAGAGACCAGGATGGCATATATGGGAAATCAGTGATCCTGAATTGTTCGGCAAAGGGAAACCCAATCCCCACTATAGTATGGAACCACTCAAAAGGTATGCTATTATTTGCAAATATGTAATTGTATTATTTCTTGTTGTATATTATCAGTGTCTGGACAAAAATGTAAAAGACTATAGTCAAAATGTAAAATTCTTGCAATTAAGTAATTAGTAAAAAAAAAAAACTTGAATCTTACAAAAGGATTTACAAAAACGAATTAGCAAAGAAATTAAGCCTTTTTGCATTTTGATAGGCGGATTTATCTTACAAATATATTTAATTTATTAACACCAACTATTTCCAGCTGTTATTATTTATACACTGTATATGAATTTAGAACAGCTGCTATTTGAGTGATATACAGTACAGCTGTTCTAAAGCTGCCATTACACTATTGGCAGTTTCAATTAACCGAAGGCAGGACCAACTCAGACACATTTATTGTGGACATAATTTTAGTCAGGTTTAGGGGTTATCTGGACAGGTGGGCTGGGTACAGGTGTGTGTTTGCATTGAGGCCATGGTCAAAGAAACTGGATTACTGGATTAGAACATGAGCAGGTGACTCGCTCGACCTTGGTTCTTCCTGAAGGGGACGAAGCGTTTGAAGCCCTCACTACACATTGTAGATGGAAGCTCACAAATGGAAATCCATTTGAAAGAAAAGAGGGCCAGAAGGAGTCTATGAGGTGAGAGAGGCACTGTGGGTAAAGGAGTGCTTTTTCTAGATTGACGATGGTATATTCTCTGAAATCAAATTTCTACATTCAGAAAATAAATCTCAGTTGCTTTCTGAATGAATGGAATTTCCATTATAGTTTTCTTTATATTACAACCCCCACACGTCATAACAGGTATAGTATTTCAACATCTAGAAATGTTCAATACAGTATCCACCTTATTTTTAACATAAGAGCGGTCCTCCCATTTCTAAATGTACAAGGCTTCTGGTGTCATCCACTTTCAGTTATTTTGAGCTATACAAAATATACTATGTGATATTGCAAACTGATATATCTTGTTATATTATTTTAATGTATTATCGCAATTATAAACATACTATTTTGTAGTTCAAATTGTCTTTTCATTTACTGCACTTTGTTACTTTTTTTGTAATTTACCTATAGTGGCTAATAAATCACAAGTCCCGCACATTCACAGAAAATATCTTATTTCCACGTTGCAAAAAAAGGAGGATATCCTGAAAGTCTGTACTTTTTTTTTTGCCACAAATCTTGGCAGTAGAGATTATTTTATTTTTTTGCCCAGATAGGCTGTAGCTTTGGCAGATTACTTTGCTCATGTAGTATTATGGTTTATTTCATATTAGTGAATCCCACAGTGTCATCTAATCCTAATCTAGACATGACACACCAGATACAAAACAATTCCCCTCAGAGATCTTTAAATCCAATAAAGAAATCATCAGATGCAAACACAGCATAACTAGAATTGATATTGAGCATGAAAAAAGGGTGTAATGTTATTGGATTATCAGATGTTCAAGATTACAGTAAAGCATATCACAGAAATGTTGCCTCATGAAGCAGTATATTTGTTTTGAAAGAAATACCTTACAGAGTAGCATTTTAAAATATTAAATATTTATTACAATACATTTAATTAAATGAAACATTAAATATTCTGCATAATATTCTGCATAAAAAAATAAAATAAATGTACAGCGTTTCTATATATATTGTAAATAGATCTTACATTGTTTCTGTTTTCTTTTAAAGGTGCTGGCGTACCTCAGTTCCAGCCCATCGCCTTGAATTCTGGTTCGCGTATCCAGCTCCTGGAGAAGGGGTCTCTGCTCATAAAACACGTCCTGGAGGAAGATGCTGGATTTTATCTGTGCAAGGTTAGCAATGACGTGGGAGCCGATATCAGCAAGAGCATGTACCTCACCGTTAAAAGTAAGACCCTGTCAAGTGGAGCATGTTGATTGTGTGTGTGTACATGTTTTTTCTATACTGGTGGGAACTTAAACCTAAATACACACCAAGTCATGGGGACTTAATGGGGTGTCACCGTGGGAACCTAAATTGAGGTCAACATGGGTACAGAAGCTTATAAATAATACAGAATGAGTTTTTTTTTTTGAGATTGTAAAAATGCACAAAGTTTTCTGTGAGGGGTAGGTTTAGGTGTAGGGTTGGTGTAGGGTGATAGAAAATGCAGTTTGTACAGTATAAAAACCATTACGCCTATGCGGAGTCCCTACAATGATAGTGAACCAGACTGTGTGTGTGTGTGTGTGTGTGTGTGTGTGTGTGTGAGTGCATATGAGTGAAATAATGTATGGTGATTGCAATGTAATCTGAGGCTATTAATACACAGATGTATTGTATCTAAATGTTTTTGTTCTCTTTGTATGGTCTGTGCCACTCTATCTAAGGAGTGTGTGTATGTGTGTGTGACTAAGTGTGTGTCTGGGCCTGAGGGTCTTCTGCCCTGCTGAATGCTGTGTGTACGGTATTGTGCTCCTTGGTGAACGGTTTATTTGTTGAGCAGGCAAAGACTTACATCCCCTTCATTAAAGCCACTACACAGCATTTATGCCCACTCTGGCATGAGGACAAGACCAAACCAAGAGAGCAGTGCCACCAGTATTTGCATTACATCACTTTCTTTTTTGTCTAAACATCACCATCACCACCCAGTTAGATCAGCAAAAATGAACTACTGACAAAAATTAAATGAAGACATTAGAAATAACTTTTATGCTGTATTTTTCGTTAACATGAAAATTATTTGAGGCATGACCACCTTAAAAGAGTCCATACAACTCATGTGTTCCCTTTCAGTCGGTCACACCGAGTCACGTCGGTGACCGACGAATTGGAATTGAGACACGACGTCTCATTTCCCTCCTTCAGGGAATGAGGGTTACCACACATAACCGAGACGTTTTTACGTTTTGCATCATGTGAGCAGCCCAGGACAAAGCCTTGGGGAGCACCAGAATGTATTTAATTTTATTTGTGGTCTGTCCATTTAAAAACTAGTGTTTTACAGATGCAATGGTCAAAAATCAGTTTAAATTACCCAGAATTTCAAAGGCAGTATCCCTGGTCGTAATGAAAACAACATTCTGATATTCCCCTGATGCATGTTGTGTTCACATTGACTAGTGCTGTTGAATCTGCATTATTTCAATCTTCAGTCAAATATATTTCTCTCAGTTTCTCAGTACGTTTTTTCTTCTTTTTTAGTAAAATGTAGATGATAGATAGATTTTTCTGCTTTTCACTTCTCTGCTTTCAATTTGGTCATTTTTTTTTATTTTTCATCACATTTCTATCTATCTATCTATCTATCTATCTATCTATCTGTCTGTCTGTCTGTCTGTCTGTCTGTCTGTCTGTCTGTCTGTCCGTCCGTCCGTCCGTCCGTCCGTCCGTCCGTCCGTCCGTCCGTCCGTCCGTCCGTCTGTCCGTCTGTCTATCTATCTTGTTGTGTATTTAAAAATTAGCTATTAGGCTTGATAGAGATGGGTTTTTTGTTTGTTTTCTTGTTTTCATTTCTATCATCATCTTTTTCCTTGTGTGGGTCTGGTGGCGCTCCCTCGCTTTCAGTATCAGATAGAGCACATGCTCAGACTGTGACCAATTGTGCAAGAAAAAGGGGGAATTGCTTCAGCATGGCAGCCTGCTGCACTCCACCAACCACACACACACACACTCGCACAACCCCTCCCAATCCAGAGAATTCACCTCACTCCATTGGCCTGTGCAGAGAAGGCAATGAGTGTGTGTGTTTGTGAGAGAGAAGGGTCTAGATGGCCCGCTCAGGCATGGCAATGTGACGAGGTGGCCTAGTTTCCCAGGGTGATAAAATGAGGGCTGAAATGGATTATATACACCCAGAGTTGCTGCTGCAGCCTCTGTATTCATATGGTATGATACACCATACACACTAATCATATTCCACATGGCCATCAAAGTGGAAAACACAAATGGATTTATCATAGTTAATTCACACCCAGCCGTAAATGCTGGTCCAAATTGCCAAGAATATTTTAAGGCTCACTTACTGTGCGCACTGAAAGAATTTGAATGTTCTGTGATTACAGTTATGTCATTTCTACAGTTTTACACACTGCATAAAAATATAAATATTTACCCTTTTTTGGCTCCAAGGTCATTGACTTCTCAGCCACTATAATGAGTCTCTGAATCTCCACCAAACGATCATGTTTCATGCTTTTTAACCCCTGTGCATCTCTAAACTCCACTTATATGCTTCATTGAACTGACAATAAAGACCATTAAAGGCTACATATGTGCCACACTCTGACTCATCGTGTGTGTGTGTGTGTGTGTGTGTGTAGACAGAGAGAAATATTATTTGCATGCTTGCCTTGATTACTTTGTTTAAATGTGAAGCTGAACATATGAAGAAGACAGTATCTGAACAACATTTTTGGCCAAGGTTTTAGTAGACCACACACAAAAGTAATGGAATAATAATGGATTTCTGAATATTAGTAAAGTAACGTTATGTTTGTCAGTAGGGAACAAGCTTAAAATTTCAACCCTGGAACCTGATTTTTTTTTTTTAAACAGTAAATGGTTAATGAAAAATGTATGTTTGAGGAAATATCAGCATTAAATTCTCTTTCTAAAATGTACATGTATTTCTTTATTTATTTTTGGTAATTATTTGTTCGTTTGTTTGCACTAGCAGGCTCTTTTATCCAAAGTGTCTTACGTGTTTTAATGTATTAATGCAGTCAGTGTATACTTTTCATTTGATCAATTAATGCATACGCTAAAAATAGAAATCTACAACCCATGCTAACATCATTCTCTACTGTTTGATGTACAGGAATGCATCACCCACATTACCATCATAACTCCCTCCAAAACTAGTAATTCACAGCATTACACTAGTGAATTATGAATTATGTCAATAGGAGGGGAACTCTGTTATAACTAGTAAGTGTAGGCTATGAAATGATAACAGTAAATAATTATTGAAAGGATATTTCTATAAATATCAGCATTCAAGTCTGTATACAAATACCTTGTGTAACTATCAAACTGTCAACCAAACTGTTGCTTTATCACAATGTTTACCATTTAAAAAAAATCTTACAGATATTTAATATAATGTAACCTTTTTTCTATATAAAATATAAAATACATAAAATACATGCATGTTGTTTGTGGAAAGACGACATTTACTCACACGTGAATATCAAACTCTCTTCTGTGCTCCCTGTGGCTTACCCTGGTTTGTTTAATAATAGTTAGGTGCTGTTCTATGGCTGCTGAAATGAATAAAGGGAGATTCTGTTTGATCTGCGGTTATAGCTGCCATCAGCGCTCCCCCCTCTCTCTTTATTACAGGAGCCTGCTGGATATTAAAAATATACATCAAATAAGCTGTTATGGGAATACCATTTAGAGCCCCTCTTGCCTGAAGCCCCTCTCATGCTGACTGCAAGACTTTAAACGAGACTATACACACTCTTTTGGATGTGTACTAAGGAGAATTTCTAAGAACTGAGGACTCACCATATTGTGACTATTTTTCCACGTTGCATTCAATATCAGTGTCTTCTGCAACATTATGTGAAATGCACTGGTTAAAAAAAAAAAAAAAAGCTGCAACAATCAGATTCCATAAAGTCATTTTAATTTTCTCCATAGAGAATGTTTTTTTAGCAATAATGCTAAAACTACACTACCCATAATCTTGACGAGAAATCCACCAATCAGAAAAGGCACTGTTACCATGGAAACTGAAATTACTCCCACTCCTATAAAGCACTGCACACTACAGTACATCATTTTAATTTAGCAGTTAACTATATGCCTCTTCAAATCAAAAATGATAATGATAACAAAAAATATATAGTTTTAAAAATCATTTTTAATTTAAAAGAATAGGAGAGTCCACACCACAGCTATATCGATAACGGCACAAATATAGTTGGAATCACTTAATTTTTTTTTCTAGCTGATGAATGATAAAAACATTGACAACCAATCAGAATCCATCCTGCTTTAAAGAGCTAGATCATTTATTTATTCTAAGCGCATGCTTATAATAAACAGAATGTTATTGTGCGTTGATATGGAAACTAATATAATTATCGTTATTTTATTTATCTTTATAGTTATCACTAATACTATCACTATCACTACTATAGATATTGCTAAAGAGCAATAACATTTAGAGAAGGCGGAGGGATATTTTCATTTTTTTTTACAATGCCGTACTTAAAATTCATAGTTGTCATGCAAAATAAATCAGCGTTCTCTCGTATGGGGCTGCTGCGCAGAGCTTGTGAGTGAATAAGAGATGAGAGTTAAACGTTCACAGGCCTGACTCTGACACTTTCCATCATGTCAACTTCCGCCACTTCACACCACACTAAACGACTCTCAGAGGCCGGGCACGGGGATGTGTGCACCCCTTTCTCTTTTCCTCTCTGTCTGTCTGTATGTCTGTTCTTGAACAGTTAATGCTGTGGGCAGACCATACAAAAGCACATATCGCAGTATGAGTTATCACACTCAACATATCCCAATATTTTTTTTGTTGCAAATTCAACCAAAAAATGCCCAACTGGGTGTTTGTGAGAGAACTGCAGGTGGTCTGTGAGTTGATAAAAAGCTAATAATGAAATCAAATGTAAAATTAAAATAAATGTGGCTGCACAATTCATTGAATTAAATCTAAAATAGTGATATGGCATATGGTGATTATCAAATTAAATGCTGCAAATTAATTAAATAAGTGTAATGTTGTTAATTTTATAATTAGATTTGAACTAAACGACTCTCAGAGGCCGGGCACGGGGATGTGTGCACCCCTTTCTCTTTTCCTCTCTGTCTGTCTGTATGTCTGTTCTTGAACAGTTAATGCTGTGGGCGGACCATACAAAAGCACATATCGCAGTATGAGTTATCACACTCAACATATCCCAATATTTTTTTTGCTGCAAATTCAACCAAAAAATGCCCAACTGGGTGTTTGTGAGAGAACTGCAGGTGGTCTGTGAGTTGATAAAAAGCTAATAATGAAATTAAATGTAAAATTAAAATAAATGTGGCTGCACAATTCATTGAATTAAATCTAAAATAGTGATATGGCATATGGTGATTATCAAATTAAATGCTGCAAATTAATTAAATAAGTGTAATGTTGTTAACAATAACAATTATTATTAATAATAATATAATATAATAATTAGGACAATATACATGCAGCTCTTTATATAAATCATGACAATGTCAATATGACCTCAATGTATCGTCACGAGCCACAGGGTTTAATATGGTTTTGTCTGTGTATGTTTTTTTTTTACTCTCAAAGCCATGAACCCATTGACTGCCATTATAAGACTGATAGACTGCAACGGTTTAAGTTAAAAATCTTCGTTTGTATTCTACTGAAGAAACAAAGTCACATATATCTTGGATGCCCTGGGGGTAAGCAGATAAACATCAAATTTTCATTTTTGGGTGGGTGAACTATCCCTTTAACATCTAAGGAGTTTGGCTGACCAAAAAAAAATGCTAAATGCATGTTTTTTGGAAAATAATAATAAATGTACTTACTGCCAAAAGAAATATACAGTATCTCATTTGATTGTTTGCTATTTTTAATTGGAACCCAATAGACACAAACCAAAATCAAAATACTTAAAAATCAATACAAATATAATTATAAATCAGATCATTCTGATTTCAAATTGTGATTGGTTTGATACAAAATCTTAAATTTACAAATAAACAAAGTTTTTGGATTTTGGAAAAATGTACATCAAGGCAATCATTACAATGTAAAAGGAATAAGGAATTGTATAACCATTGCCATCAAAGTGAAAGCAGTACATACTGTACTAAATAAATTGCGATTTAAAAAAAAAAAAAAAATTTCAGCTTTTCATTTAAAAAAATATTTTTTTAATAAACGTGCAAAAAAAGTGTGTCTTAATTTTTTTTTGGGGGGGGGGGACATGTCTTGCTCTATATTTCACATTTCTATATAACTTCTAACTAACGTAAAAAGGTTCTGGTATTCAGTTGATACATACTTACCATCACAAAGTATATGCTGTACGATCATAGGGTCCAAACATGCTGATTTGGAGAGTTTTAGTCACATTCCTGCTTCACCTGTGTTAGTTTTGCTGAGCGAAACAAGCAGAAGCATCTATATGAAGAATCTAAGTGTGCTCATCATTAAATCATACCCATGCCTGCCAGGAAAGAGAGAGAGAGAGACAGATTCCTCACAGTGCTTCAGGGTAACAAGGTTTTCAGGGGTGAGACAGGCCTGAGCATGGTCTCGCGCCTCTTTTCATGTCTGCGCTTGCAGTGTGAACTTCTCACCAGTGAACAGCTCAGTTTGCTTTCAGCAGTTACTTCATATGAGGAGATCCGATAACAGTTTGATTGGAAATAAAACTTTTTGAAGAAAGACACTTTTAGACCAGTGGTAATGTAAAGCTGCTTTGAAACAATGTGTATTGTGAAAAGCGTTATACAAATACATTTGAATTGAATTTGGGTCTCGCGCCTCTTTTCATGTCTGCGCTTGCAGTGTGAACTTCTCACCAGTGAACAGCTCAGTTTGCTTTCAGCACAGTTACTTCATATGAGGAGATCCGATAACAGTTTGATTGGAAATAAAACTTTTTGAAGAAAGACACTTTTAGACCAGTGGTAATGTAAAGCTGCTTTGAAACAGTGTGTATTGTGAAAAGCGTTATACAAATACATTTGAATTGAATTTAAATTAATGATCAGTTGTTATATCAAGGCCTTACATGACCCAAAATGAATGATGATTTTAGACCAAATTAGTTGTCCACAAGGGTTATCACATGTCTGGGCATTTATTTTAAGAGTGTGTGATCCAGATCTACATGTTTGCATTGTATTCCGCTGTGACCATTATTATACATGGACATGTTTTGTTTGTGATGAGCTGGCCATGTAATATAACCTGTGTCGCAACAACCTCACAATGCAAGTCAGCTGTCTGTGATTAAAGTTGTGTTGGCTATAAGCTGATAATAAATGTATGCAAATAAAATCAGTTAAATAGTGATAATTAGCTTTCCATTATTTAAATTTCGCATTTGTAAATTTCGCATTTTTCTATTTTTTTTAACATTATGTAACATTAATTATATATTCTATGCACATTAATTTAATAATTTCTTAGCATTTGTTATGTCCCCTTTTTGCTTTAAAGGGGTCCTATTTTTGCTAAAGGGCTCTTTTACAAAGTCTTGATTTTGTTTTGGGGGTGTACTAGAACATGCTTGGTGGTTCCGGGTTTGATGAAGGCCCGCCTTCCGAAAAATGAAATGTGTTGTGATTGGTTAGCTATCCCAGTACGTTGTGATTGGCGAACAGCTGAACAGCTTAGACGGTGTTTCAGTACTGCCCCGCCCCTTGCTCCGTCTTTCAACAAAAGCTAAACAATTAATTACTGTATTTGCATTACTGTAAGGGTAGGTTTAGGGTTTAGGTGTAGACGTTAATAAACCATAATTTTACAGGTAGGATTTTTCGTTGTCGAATTGTACTACCCACTGTTTTAATGGGAGGTAGCAAAATCTGACAGGGTAGCAAAAATCGACAGAACACCGGTCGGCATCTGTCCGCAGTGACCAGCTACGTCATGTTGTACTTGTTGAATGAATTGTTCTAGACGCTGTGCAAACATACACACTGACTAAAATTTAAAAAGTGAAAAAGCATAATAGGACCCCTTTAATAACTTTGAACTGGGGTGTATTCCAGAAAGCAGGGTTAACTTACCGTCACATATACCCTGAACTCTCGGTTGATTAACCCAAACCTTGCTTACTTGAGGTATGCTGGTTCCAAAAACACGTCTGGGAGTAAGTTCAGTCAACTCAGAGTATGTTCACGGTTAACACACAAGACATTCTCAACAGAGCTACGAATCGACAAGTCACGATGGAAACGGATGCTAAGAAAAAGCGCACCATTGTGCTTCTTCCTTCTTTTTTTGTTCAATGGCCATTTACAGACCTAATGCATATCGCCACCTAATTGGTGGTTGTGCAATCATTTTTCAATCTTGTTTGATTGATGCTGATTATATAATAAGACATATCATATCCTTTTATTATAGAAATACACGATAGAAAACATCCTGTTGCAAAAAGCATATTTTGTGCTTCATTGGAAGTAAGGAAATATTTTATATAAAGGATTCTGCATGCTGGCAATGTCACACATTTGCTTATTTAGATCTAGCAATAGTGAATTTGCAAATACTCCATTGTCATTTTCCATCGTAACTTTTTTTTCTTTTAAATTTTTCAAAATTCTACAACTTCTTTTATTGATAAATTAGTTTGTTTCTCAGTGAATCTAATATTTAAAAAAAAGTGTACATAATATATTGTATTGTATATAATGTTCACATTACAGTAATTAGAATTAGATTTATATATTAAATGAAAAAAAATGAAAATGTTTTATGGTGGTTGTATTTCGGTGCTGTGCATGTGGCTGGGTCGTCACTGACGGTAAATATCATTTCATGCATAATATCACTCTGTGTTTTTCTCTGTTTCTCCTTCTGTTCAGTTCCTGCCATGATCACATCTTACCCCAACACCACACGAGCAGAACAGGGTCACATGACTGAGATGAGCTGCACTGCTCACGGTGAAAAGCCCATCAAGGTTCGCTGGGAGAAGGAATCTCATATCATCAACCCAGACATGAGCCGCTATGTGGTTACTGGGAAGGAAGTGGGAGATGAGGTCATATCCACCCTGCAGGTGAGCCAGACACCATCTACACTGAGAATGCAATCATACGCCTCATTTTCAAGACACATATTCGGGGCTGCCCTGGACTAGCTGTTTCTTTTCCTGTCAAAAATCATCCACCATTTTCACACACTTATATTTGTCCTGGTTGTCAACATGAAACTTACAACTCATTTATACTATGGTATGGCAATAAAGGTTTCAGGTATCCGTGCTTACAGAAATTACTTTTACTGTTCACCAGCAGGTACACTCTAAAAAATGCTGGGTTAAATACAACCCAGTGCTGGGTAAAATAGGGACAAACCCAGCAATTGGGTTGTTTTGACCCAGCATTTTTTAGAGTGTATGGTTACTACCAGGAGGTTGGGTTACTACCAACCGCTGGGTCAAAACAGCCCAATTGCTGGGTTTGTCCCTATTTTACCCAGCACTGGGTTGTATTTAACCCAGCATTTTTTAGAGTGTATGGTTCAAGCACAGTGGGGGGAAAAAAGGTAACAGGTAACGTGAAATTAAATGTGAAATGTATATAAAAAATGTAATAAAATTAACTAATAATTAATAATTTCTTTTAAAATGTCCTCCAATAATCTTTGTTTTATATGCAACTTCAAAAAAAGAATTTTACAGTTTAGTAGTATTATGCTATTTTAAACATAGCACAGTACAGTAAAGAATACCAAACATAGCCCACGTCAAACTCACTATAGGCTACAAGGAATATTAGAAGAACTACAGAACTTATTAACATAGTCAGGGTAACCTATTGTCCATACATTTGTGTTTTCTCCATGAAACAGTTGAATGAAATAAAAGCCCTTGTTACATAAAAAGAAGATAGCAAAAAGCACTAATGTCAAGTGTGGTGATGGTTTCAAAAGGCAATATTATATTAAAGTCCATAAAATGCAAATGTATAAATATATCAACCAGTCTTTTTGGGGGACCTTGTATAAAAATAAAATGACCCTGGAAGACAAATTTACCTTGTAACATAAAGAGGCTCTGCAAACACTTAAATGGGTACTTGATAGTTTCAGTAAGTATTATTGTAAAGGTCTGCAGATCTGTGCAACTTTTTTGTTTAACGTTGCACAAAAGATTACTCATAAATCATGCTAGTCATTAGTAAGAGTGTGCAGAATTTATTTTTTCTCTTTTTTCATGTGTGTTTTTTTTTTCTTCAGCAATTTCACGACAAATCGAGCACATAATCTGGAATACTACGGTTGAAATAACATGCAGGTGGATGTTTATGCTTGTGCCACATTTACTTTATCCGAACAAGATATGAAACAAGCATTCATAGATGCTTCAGTGTGTTTGTGTTGCCCATTCTGAGGAAAGATGTAAGCAAATCATAGGAAAAATATGATTTAGTGTTCTCAAAAACATGAAAAGCCAAGGGAATTAGTAAAATATTTATACATTTTTTCTCCACTCTTAAATATTGCTTATAGATATTGATTTTTGTTAGTGTTTGTGCAAAACAACATTTTACAATGTCTGTGGAGGGTCTTACTGGAGTCATTTGTACACTAATAAGTATAATCAATCGAATATACTGTAATAATTCAAAAGACTGTACCTGACATACTCATAAACATCCAAATAAAATGATGATAAAACAATTCTTATCCATGAACGAATGAAATGTGAACAGCAAAACTCCCATAGCAATTGTGATGGGGCTGACGAGACGTGAGACGTGTGGATCCATCTGCAAGCTTTTATTAAAGAGACGTAGTATAACAGGCAGGGTCGAACCATGGCAAACAGGTATATGGCAGGCAAAAACACAAGAATAGTCCTAGGGCTAGCGTAGGTCACCGATCGGCAGACAGAATCACAGAGGCGAGACGAGAGGGAGAAATCCAGGAAAACAGGCAAAGATCAGAAACCGCAAAAACAGGCAAGGCAAAACAAGGAAAACACGGAGACTCGGAAAGGGGTACAGGCTAAACAATACTCACCAGAGAATGGTGGTTTGAGTGGGTGTTATATAGTGAGTGAGGTGATAAGAAACAGCTGTGTGCAATGAGCGCAATCAGTGCAGTGTGCAAATCGTGCAAAGAATGATGGGATATGTAGTCCGGGGTGCTATGCAACAGTTTGTGTTGTGCAAGAGTCAATGTAAAGGAAAGGGTGACCTCTGGTGGTGAATAAACGGAAGTCCATGGACCGAATTCGTGACAGCAATTACCAATAGCATTTACCTAAATGCCTTTATGTACTAGTCAAATGTGTGCTATTTGTGTCTTCACAGATCTTACATACCGTCAGAGAGGACTCTGGCTTTTTCTCTTGCATTGCTATCAACTCATATGGCGAAGATAAAGGAATCATTCAGTTGATTGTACAAGGTAAAGTTTCTGCTTTGTTCTTGTTGTTTTAATTTAAGATTGCACTAATGTTGCTTTTAAATTAAATGATAGTTTATTATTCTAAAGTATATTAAGAATATATTCAATATAAGAATGCATTAAGTATTAATAATATATTCAATATATATATATATATTTAATTATAATTTTTTTTAATGCCAAAATATGTTTCATTTGTCTAATCATTCATTGTCTAATCTCTACCAACATTTCTCCAAAGATCGTCCTGATCCTCCTGAAGTTGAGATCAGAGAGGTCAAGGACCGAACCATTGCACTTCGCTGGACAATGGGCTTTGATGGCAACAGCCCTATTACAGGATATGACATCAACTATAAAAACAAATCATGTATGTTTTTTTTGCCTCAAATAAATGATTATTATTTATATTCTTTAGCGCAAGAATTGTTCATAGTAATAGATGTTTTAGGCAGTCATTTGTATTAGGTGTTTCATCACTGCTAGAAGCTGGAGTTTATTGACAAGTCGGCATTTTGGCCTGGATCAATCTGTTTAATAAATCAGACTGAATGACCAATGTTCAATTTTATTCACATAGGCTGAATTCTATGTGCCAGTCATTCATAGAATGATCTTTGATCATTACGTTGGTTGAAGCTAATTAACTAATTACAATTTTTTTTATATATTCCTTCACCCTTTATACTGTGGTAAAATGACTATAACATAGCCTCTTGTGGTTTATAGCATTATCACTTTGCATTTCTCTGTATTTCTTCAAGCTTCATGGGCCTCATCTCAAATGACCAAAGACGTCTCCCCTCAGCTGAATCAGGCCACCATCATTGAACTCCACCCTGCTTCCACCTACAACATCCGCATGTTTGCCAAAAACCAGATTGGCGAAAGCAGACCAAGCAATGAGCTGACCATCACCACAGATGAAGCACGTGAGTATTGCTACAACTGAAAATGATGTGAGCCTTTGTGAGTCTTTTTCTATAGTACTCTTTAGTATCAGACATTTTATTATCTGTGTCGCCACCTAGTGGCTCAGTCCATTATTTTCTCTGTCTTTCCTGCACGTGATCAATCTAGCACCTGATGGCGCTCCTCAAGATGTGCAGCTGGAAGCAATCTCATCCCAAAGCATCAAAGTCACATGGAAGGTAATACTGAGGAACAAGACATGTAGATATGCAAAACTGGAATTTGTGCAGGTGAAATCATTTTTGAGGAATATTTTGGGTTTAAGCTATTTCAACAGTAGCGACAATGTAGATTGCCACAGAAAATTATGTTTAACTTGTCCATTAAAGAAAAGGTAACACTTTATTAAGAATAAAATTGAAATATGAACAAGACATGGTTGTAGGTGCCAACACTGTCGTACGGTTTGTACATACCCCCAAATTATGTACTTTCCCATCGCCAAAGAAGTACTTACTTTTTCAAATTGGAATGCAGATACAGCATGTTTTTTATTTTTCTTCTGATTCTCCCTTTCTGATGTTACAATATCTATTCTGTTCTCTGTTCTATTCTTTCCAGCCCCCCCTCAAACACTTACAGAATGGTTTGATCCGAAGCTACCAAGTGTGCTATCGGGAGTTTGGGACAGGGGGCAGCCCACAATACAACACCATCAATGTGGACACCACAGGGGACATTGAAACCCTCACTTTGGATAATCTGAAGAAGTACACCCAGTATGAGGTGCGGGTGCAAGCAGCCAATCGGGCAGGCATAGGTCCCACCTCGGAGGAAATCACCATCACCACTCTAGAGGATGGTTAGTCACTTTATGATTGTCACCTTTGTTATATTAATACTTTGAAGCTTAATTGATTTGTTTATAATTGTTGATTAATAAATGTCTCTCACATATTAGCTTTAAATTCTATTTGTAGGACATAGTAATGCACATACATATTTTGAGATTTCATGATAAATATCACACAGAGTTCACTCTAAAAAATGCTGGGTTATATTTAACCCAGCATTTTTTAGAGTGTATATTAACTAACACGATCTGTCCTGTTTTCCCTCGCAGTGCCCAGTCGCCCACCTGAGAACGTTGTGACAACAGCTACCACCCCCGAGACCATCTCCCTGTCCTGGTCTGCTCTGTCTAAAGAAGCTCTCAACGGCATGCTGCTTGGATATCGTGTCATCTACTGGGCCAACCTACCTGATGGAGGTCAGGCAGGGTTATGACCTTCTCAGCTTCTGCTGAGAATTTCTTCCATTTATGCATAATTATGTAGCACACAGATGTCAGGGTTAGGTGTAGGTTCAAGGTTAGTACCTAGTTATTACCCAGTTATTGTAATTGATCAAACAAGTACATAGTACATACATGCAGAACAGGCCTGTAAAATAAAGTGTTACCAAATAAAGTGCTTCCAAAAGTTCTGTAGCAGTTTGGTGATGGTATCAGGTGATAATACCGTAGTACTTTCCAAATTCATACACTTTGGTATTTACATAGTGCTCCAAGGTATTTCAGAGATGCATGTTTTTTACAATGCATCTCCAAATAGTACCAAAACAATTTTTTTTTTGTAAATAAACAATTGTTTTTGTAAATAAAATGTTTATGCCATGAAA